TTTTTTCCCCTTTAATGGCATGCCATTACATATATTGACATTGACTTGACATCTGGCAACATTCTTTCGCGTGATACCAAAAATAATAAGTATGACTTACTAAGCATATCAAAGAGGGGCGATTGTTATTTTCATGACAGCAAGAAGAGGAGATATCGCATTATTGACTCACCTGAAACAGAAAAGAGAAAATAAGCATTTAGTACACATGTTATAAACACTTATAGAGGAGAGATATGCATAAAAACAACCGGAAAAGAAAACATAATTATTACACTTAGGTCATCAAGCGTGATTCCATTTTTGGAGAATCCGATAATTTCTGAATATAAACTTCCATAGAACAATGAATCATGATTTGAGGCGTTGCATAGATTTCATTTGAATTAATGGTAATATTTGATAATTTAGCATTGTCATATAATTCTATCTGCAAATTTTACTGATATTTTTAAATTTAACATTTTCAATTCAACAACAACATATATATCGATGTGCTAATTCTATGATTTATTTGAATCATTTACATTCACTTGTTATTCCATTAATAGCAAATCGTCAAAATTATCGTCATACATAAATATTGAAATTTCTTAAAGATGCTAAATTTCTTGAGAAAAAAAATATAGCGTAAATGTACGTACATCAAAAAGTAAACACAAATTACTTCATATTTCCTTAGCAAAAGAAATACCGAGAAAAATAAATTTATTTACACAAGTATCTTTAGAGGGGGGTTGTAAAAATGTTAAAAGTTACGGTCGTCTTATCAATTCCCAATGGGGATGTATATTTGCCACTTGCAAACATTGATAAAAGTGGAGAATCGAAAATCGCTCCTTCACTGTTTACATAACGTCTGCAATTTTACAATCACATCTCAATGAAGCCTCTTCTTTTATCGATTTCACAGAGATAAGTCTCTTGGAAAGAAAACAAAAAAAGATAGGACAATGAGAGACTTTATATAAATTATAATGCATAACACAAAATACTGAATACACATGTATACTAACTAGTTCACTTCTTTTTCTATTCTTCCATATTTCAGATTCATTTTTTATAGAGCGTGCAAAATGAACGTGCAGAGCATTTGAAAGAGCGGTGCGTGTGTGTGTGTGCGCGCAATAATTAATAATAATTCGCAATCGAATTAGAACGCATTCGGAGTAGTTGTGAAAACGATTTTCTAAATGTACAGTTTTGGAATCGAATCGAAGGTATTGACATCTGCAAATGTTTTTTGAAATTTAAAACGCGCTCGCTCATAATCAAACAGCGAAGAATCCCTAAAATGGGGACGCGAAAGTTTCGCTCACTTCTATCTTTATTATCATCATGATTTTTCACTGCAACCAAGTGTTGTTCTTGTAATTGGTGTCATGCAATGCGAAGAGCTCATATTTCAATTAGTTTATTTGCGAATGCGACTGATGAACTCCTCGCTCTGAATCATCACCAAAAAGAGATGTTGTTACTGTTGATGATGATGAGGTGTGCGATGGAAGTGTGCAGTCGCGAACTTCGAGAGGCGATGCAATTAGATCGGCAGAAGAACACCGCTAATTATATGGTATTTGCGGCGCGAAACTGCAATTGCCTTAATCGACGAGAGCCACCTCTTTCACTTCTCAATTATCACCATGCATGCATACAAGCAGTAGCATTGCACAAAAGGAGGAAGAGATGGATTACCGATGTAAACGAGCGAAATCGATACGTTTCACGATTATGCAAATAAGAATGCAATTAATGATAAGAAATTAAGCAACGGATTGTGCGTTTCCGGTATGCAGAAAGAACGGTAATTCCCTCGTTTTTATTCGTTTGTTGTTTTTGTTGGTTGTTTCATGGTGCAGCAGCAGCAGCAGCATTAAAGATCGCATCGTATGTAAATCAGGCGAGGCGCGTATCCGAGTAGCCCAGGGCGCTGGCACATTTGGATGCGCTTCTTCTTCTTCATCATCATCATCATCAACTCCTTGCGTCCGGATAACCAGATACACGTATTTACCGCGAGAGAAAGAATTGTTGATGATGAGAAACGTGACCTCGAAAGGCATAAACAAGCACGCACACAAAAATAGGATGATATACATTTGAGTATTTTAATAATTGGATTTTGCAAATAACCGATGGAAGGAGGATGAAGGATGATCATCATGAATGGTAGCCGTTGTCTTATCCTCGCTTCCTCCTTCTTCTCTCAATGAAAAGCATCTACTAACATGTGCCTCCTAGTAGTAGTAGTTTCAGCTCTTATCAAGAGCTCAACGGAAAACGCTATTTGCGATTTGAATCATCTGGCATGCAGCGTCTGAATTAAACATGTGTTTTGTCAAGAACTGCAAGAAATCCATGAATGAATTCGCTTGTGCATTAAGTAATAAAGAATAATCTGCATAGATTAGCCACTTCCTCTCGTTCGTCTGCCTCTTTTCTCCTCCTTTCCACGAACGCGAAAGACGTTAAATTCTAAAGACAATCGGATGGCATCTGCCATTTTGATTGAGCAGATTGAGAAGAAGTCGGTCAACTTGCTTTGCAGATGGCTCAAATGTTGTTTTTCCCATTAAAATGACACACATTGCGACCTCATGATTTATATATTAATCATATCGCGAGCATCTGCTAAAAAAAAACTGGACCAGACCCATCCATACACGATTCGTACGTAAGTGGCAAGAGACATCTCGTTGAGAGGAGAACAGCTTGAAAGAGAGTATCGCAGAAAATGAAAGGAACGAGATGAGATGAACTGTGCTGCATGTTGTTGTTATTATTATTATTATACTTCTGTTTACCGAACAGAACAAACTACTTCGCCCGAAGATGCGAGGAACGAAAAACGTAAACATAAGATGACAGCTTGAAATAGGGGAAAGATAAATATGTTCTGGTTATGAATAAAACACATCTAGGCTGTTCCTTTCTCAGTGGTTTGGCTTTGCAAAATGAACAATCGAATTACACACATAAGTCTTAAATTGATGACAGTTTCAATAAACAAACTTCCAAATAAGACGACTACCGATACTAAATAGTAATGCAATCATATATTGTATAGTCGATTTCCTGCAAGTCGATCAAATTGTTTCGACTTAATAAACGGCCGAGACCAGAGTGAGCGTGGAAGCAGGAGCAGAAGCAGGTTATTAAACAATTATCGGAGACGCAATTTAAATTCATTTTTTTTTTGTTGGAGGAAGAGAGGTAGGAAGACTCTCTCGAGATTTTGTTTTTATGTCGCCCCGCGGCAATAAACCGCGATTTCGTAACGTTCTTTCTTCCATCCATCCATTCCGCATCCAAGGCAACCAGCGTTGATTTTGACGTTGTCGCCATGGTAATGTAAATAATAATAGCACATTAATATTACGGGACACGAGGACGGGTGCATGACTGTATGTGTGTGTGCAGTGCATTCATCGCGCGATGCGAATACGTTAAGAAGACGAAAATGAAAACGCGTAACATAGCAGAGGATGGACGAACGGATGGTATGCCATAGCATGGCTGCCACGGGTTGGATGGCAAAGTATGGCATAGCATCATAGCATGGCATTGCACGACACGGCACGACCGACGCAATGTGATGTGGGTCAATAACTGTGCGATGCCCTCTCGTCGCTGCTGCTGCCTCCTCTTCTCTCATCATCATCATCATGATACAGAACCTACTAGTACAAAAAAAAATGTATACATATATGCTCCTTCGAGCAACCGCAATTCATGTACACATGAAGCTGTCAAAAGAATTACTTTTGCTATGACGAGAAACAAGTGAGCGCATGAAATAAGTTTACAACTTGTACCGTTACCAATTCGAAATCCAATTTAAAATAATGGATACTTTAAATTCAGAAAAATGCGGTAGTCTGAAATCTCATTTGAATAGTATGCAAAGCACGGAAAACAATGATCAAAACACTGTAATATAATTGTAAAATATGGATATTCACTAAACAAGGAAATAGTTTACAAAGTAAATATTTATCTGAAATATCATGTAAATAGTATAGATTAGTAAATCTACTAACTATAAGAAATCTATTTAACTACTTGTTTAATTACTAATTCTTTTTAAAATGGTGATAAAATCGGTGGGACGATACCGTCCCCCCAAAGCGCTATTTAGTAGTGAACGTGAGGTGAATCGCAATCACAAGAAAGCAAGCAAGTCTTAGAAAGTGACTGCTGCAGGTTGACGTCTGACATAGGACAGTCGTCACCACCTCGCAGGCAAACCCAAGTAAGTAAGTAAATCAGTCGAAAAGTGATGGGTAGAGTATCAAGCGGCAAGTCCATTGTTCGAATTGAGTTTCTGTGCCATAAATGATCGAATACTGCGCTCCATTCAAATGCACTACGTGACGGAATCCGACGGAGCACGAACTCCCTTTTACGTACGTTTCGAAGCCGTCCATTCTTTATTTTTGTTTTCTTTTCGTATGATACATACACATTATTAATACGTTAAATTGCGCATTACGTTTCACCGGCAGTTTCTCTCCGCCGCACTACTTAATCCTCACTTATCCATTGTCGATTATTTGCACAAACCAACACAATTGGATTTCAATTTTCCATTGTTTACAAACTAGATTAGACGAAAAAATAATAAAATAAAAAAAAGGACGCTTTGAAAACATGAGAAAAACAATTGTCTATTAAATAATAAACGTACATTAGATTCAAAACGATATATCATGAATACATAAAATACTCAGATTGTATAGTAATATTATATATTCAAAATCTTCCTGTATTTCCAATCAATCAAAGTAAGCAAAAAAAGCTTCATTAAAATTACTCTATTTTTATTTTTCTATAAATGTTTCATTATCTTAAAGATAATTTAATTTCGTAAATAATATATGTAATCATCAATAGTTTAAAAATAAATGTAAAGAAATGTACTCAAATTCATATATTGAATCTGTCATGTGATTCACAACAACAACAACAACGGGCGTTGCTGACAAGTTTACTTCATTTACCCATTATTCTCATTGGTGACTAACTGCTCTAGCATTTGTATCTTCAGCATGATCGACGAATAAATCCCAAAAGGACAACAAGAAACGTCGTACACATACACAATTCACTCACTCACTCAAAACCGAGGGAAAAAGGAGAGGAGAAGGAGATCACCGAAAATAATAGTTCGAATCGCTGATCGTAAAAGAGAGAAAAAGAAGAAAGTAACAAACAAAGAATAAAAACAAACTAAAGTTGTATCCGGAGAGATAAACTCGTCGTCGATGGTGCTCGAGTGTTTCACATGTTCGATGATCCCCGGGGATGGAAACACGTCTCGAGTCTATCTATGGCTGTTTGCTCTGGTACGAACTACGTTCGTTCTTGGTACTGTCTGCGGTGGTAATAACGATTTCGTTTGAGGAGAGGATGGGATGGGAGAAGAAGAAAGTCGCGGATGTGCGGCCTGTGGGACACCCACATCGGACGAGCGCGCGTCTTGGACTGTTGTCGGTGGCGGCGGCGGCGCGGGATTCTTGTGTATCACGACGAGCGGCAAACTGCAACGCAACGGCAACCGACCATAGGATGGATGACGACGTGCGGCAACCGCTCCTCCTCGTCGTCCTCATCTTCCTTCCACATCCACCCACACGCGCCCCCCATCGTACCATTGCGAAAACACTACGCAAGCCCTAGCGCATTCATCCCTGCGGAAATCCGGGGCTGCTACACTAATTGCCTTTCATAATTAAAGCTCGCCCTTCAACAATAAACACGACAAGTTGGAATAATTCAACAATTCAACAATTGTTACAATCTAATAGAATATACAAAAAAGAAAGAGGACCAAGCAGCAGAAACTAAAATTAACCAATTGCTGTTCTTACATAAATTTGATATCGATATGGGTTTGGAGAACTGCGCGCACTTTAACTGCGGTTTAAATTACACGCCTGTTAAATCGCACGATCATAAATTGACCCTAATTACATGGTATTAACATACATTTCGTCCCTTTTCCTTAAGAGCTCTAATATTTCAATCTCTACCTGACCTAACTGCCGGTTAACCTAAGCGCGCAGCGTGAAGCTACTACACCACACTAGTGTTGTTGTCGCATTAATTCATACCCATGCCATTTCAGGATTTACGAAAGTTCTTAAATTAAATAAACCAAAATAAATTAATTAATAATCAATACGTGATTGATCATAGCTTTCGCATTCGATTTACATTCCGTTTAATTGCCCTATTTTGATTGATTAATATTATATAATCATTGTTCCTTTGCGTTGCATTGTAAATCAATCATTTATGATCATATATATCACGAGGAATTGAATTCGCGTAGCTTAAAATCAATGGAGCATTGATATGTTTTTGTGAAGTGCAAACAGCGCAACTGAATGCCTATTCTATTCTATACGACAAACGAAATAAACATAATTTATATTTGCTCTCATATTGTCAGTTAATTTCCGAAAACAGGTCTGATCCTTAGGGTGGAGGATACAGTAATTAAGTTCAATTTGGAAGGAGATTCGCTGCAGCATCTGCTCGGAACAATCGCGAGATGCCCTTTGTGCGCTCACCTCTATTTACGCGACGCATCGGAGGCAATAAATAAACTCGCGACAATTAATATCAAAAATAAATAAAAAGAGGAGCAAACAGTGTGTGAGAGAAAGACAATTTCGGACTTCGGTCAGAGAGGTGGATGGAACTGGCCGAACAAAAGGGCGCGCGCGCCGTCCTCAATGCGGAATTACGTAAATTTCACACCCCTATAATTAAGAACCCAAACAGATTCTATGATTTACGGGCGTTTTAACCATTCGTACACCCTCCCTAAAACGAAGCCCGCTTTAATATTTTTTCGGTCATTGTCCGAGAGGAAGGGGTCGCATCATAATCGGACACGGGTCAGCGGTGCTGCGGGACGCATCTGGACGCACAACCCTTTCCTCTCCACTCGCTCACTACACTCCATACCCATCCACACGATTCCTCAATAGCACAAACCCCAAAAGTTTAATTTAACAACGAATGAAAAAAAAAATAGTCTGCACGAAACGAACATTTTTGTATCATATCGAATTACGTGCGCATTGTTGCGGTGCATAAATCAGTTGGGGTGGATGGAAAGCGAAAAAAAAAAAAGAAGAGAAGAGTTGGCCCTTGATTGGGATTAATTTGCTGGGCCGAGAGCGACAATAAAAAAATTACCTGCGATTTTTCCGTTCCCTCTTTTTCAAAAGAGTTATTAATTGCGCTTTTTCATTTCTGCCCTATTATAATATTTAATAATATATATATTCAGACGCTCGCGCGCAACTGCACCAGAATGAAACAAAAAAAAAGAGCAATTTTATGTAATACAAAGCCGACTGCTATATATGCAACATTATATAAATTATTAGGTAAATTCAATATTGTAAAATATTGCAAACATTTTCCCACAATGAATCATTACGATGACTCGAAAATGCTATTGTATTGTTATATTTATCAAAAAATGATTAAAATAAATTTGAAATAAGCTTATTGTTTACTTAATAGAAATATTTTAAGAGAGAACAAATAACTTTATCAATTATTAGAAGATTGATAATCTACGCATGTTCTGCAAGTGATAGGGTCGGTCATTGATGAGATGAGTGAGTAATATAGTAATATAATTTTGGTAAGGAATGGGAGAAATGACGGATGCAAAGCAACCAATCCACCCCTTGTTATTATCATTTGCAATGAATAGAAGAGTATGAATATGGAATATAGTATATACATAAATGGATGGAATCGATATGATGGATGAATGCATGGCATTGTGCAACGGAAGTGCCGAAATTAGCGCGCCAAATCGGGGCCACCAAATATGCAGCAGAAGAAGGAGCGCAAGAAAAGCGAAGAGCAGTATGCGGCGCGCGTACAACACACGACGAGAGAATGAGACGAAATGAATGAAAAACGAAGGCAAGACGAAGATGGAACGATCGCTTAAGGAGAGAGGAGAGGAATACAATGGGGCGTATTGTGCAATTGTTTCGCGTGCAAGCCGCAAAGGAAGAGGATGTGCGGTTGCTGTAAACGATTAAGGACGTGCTCCGAACTACGAATGATGCACCACCACCATCACACATCCATCGTTCTTCGTCCTCTTCTCTTTCAGTTCTCCCAATCGTATTGCGTAACAGATCATCAAACAAATGACAATTGGATACGTAAGGATATCGAATAATTGAAGTGAGAGGATAACGATGAAAGAGAAAGACGGGGGGCGATAAAGCCTCTCTCATCTTATCGAAGCTCGGTGTCGACTGTAAATACTGATCAGGGTCAAAAAACCGAATCCTCAAGAGATCGACCCGCATCGCTCGTTATCGGATTTCATAAATAAGATTAATAAGAGGCATTAATTAGAGGGACGAACCACACCTCACGATCATTGCAATCGCAGATTGCGCAAACTTCGTGCAACGATCAACCAACCACCCCTCGCACCCCTCTCGACGACTTGCGGACGCGCAGCTGACACGCCGTTTCATTTTTTTTTCTCTTCTCCCTCTTCTACCGGGCCAGTTTTAATCGGCTTTGCTTTGGTCATAGTTGCGTGATTCTGGTCCGATTGTCCCTCCATTTCTGATGACCGACCCCCAGTATAATTCTATTCATTAAGCTGCGACAGTGAAATAATAAGTAGGCAAATAGGAATGTGTAAATCGGATCGATTGATTTCGTCTATACTCTGGCGCAGGGGATGAATTGAGTCGTTACGGTGACCGACCCACCACCCAAAATTTCCGGTGAAATGAAAAAGCCACCCCAACACCAGAAAAATAAATTAAATCAAAACAAGTTCCTCCTTCTTCTCTCTCTCTCTCTCTCCCCATCGCCCCAAACATTACTCTAGGTTAGACCAAATAAATTAAATGAAAGATACATGTACGGACCGAAAAGCAAGCAAACAATTTCGCCCGAAACAACAAACAATGCGAAGAACGTAATTGAATTTTGACAGCAGCTGCTGCCGATCATGCGAAATGAGACGAACTTGCATACACAAACAGCGTGGATAAATATATCAAACATGCACTTGAAAATGTTTCTTTCGAAGCGACAAATTCAAATGAAGAAATTAATAATCAGGAAATTAATTGAAAATGCTTATGCTTATATGGAAATGTACTTATGCACGTGCGCGATAGCTGACACATATTGAAATATACAATACATGCAATGCTAGATTAAATACTTGGCAAGTATCGCGTAGTGAGAATTTATACTTGGTATTGAAATAAACATAAAGTTCCCACATTCAAATTATATCAAAGTGCTAAACTAATTTAATCTTTGAATTTGACAGCTGTCAATGTTGACGAACGATTGCGGTTATAGCGTTTCGGGAAGAGAGCCGCATTTCGTCCAACCCGCTCGCTGATGAGCACTTCCTGCGGACCCACCAATTGCCTGACGGACAGGACTCTACTCTACATCCAAGGACGAAGCGCGGTAATTTCGAATTAATCTGTAATAGGCGTCCGTCCGTTCGTTCATCCGTCCGTTCGTCCGCGAATAATAACAAATCATGTTCCGAGCGTGCGTTACGTAAATACTGTCATCGCATCGCTACGTGCCGTGCATCTTTTATCGATTACTGGATGGATCAGAAGGTAAACAGAGGTGCAGCGAACGGTGCAGCATTACATAACGCAACGGAGATAATGATAAGGACGCATCTTAACCCAAATTGGGATGAAAATATCCCCGGTTTAGGTTCGCTCCGATCGGTGATTAGCGTAAATCTTGTCCAAAGCTGATGGCGCGATATCGCGATATAGCGTCGTGCCGCGGGGACGCGATCTCTAATTGAAATCTAACGAACCGCAACGCCGATCGCGCATCATTCCCATGCTCTCTCCCTCGCTGCCGCATCCGCCGTTATCTTCTCCCATTTCTTTCACGGATCAAATAATAAAATTTATTATTCCTAGATATAACGCAGAGCGAGGAGAATCGAAGAGACAGGGGGAGAGAGAGAGAAGGAAAAAGAAATGAGGCCGGGAGGATTCGATCACGTTTCCACTTAAAACGCTGCCCGAGAAAAGAAAAGAAAAGAAAAAAAAAATGGAGATGGAGAATAGAAGAGAAGAGGAGATGCACCATCCGTGGTAGAGAGGAAGGAAACTAATTGAGCGCGTCCGATCGTTATGCATTGATTAATTGGCAGCTCTCGTATACCGATATGCCCCATAATTGACAGCTGTCAACTTCTTTGCAAATGAAATGTAATCAAATAATAAAAATCGAAATAGGAAAGCAACAATTGGTGGCCTCCTGAAAATCGATTGTGGTGCGAAACGGACGAGATGGGGAATCCATCTAATTGCATTATTACTGTGAACGAACGAAGTAAACCCCGTCGGTGAATGCCCTTCGGTTACTACATTGCTAAACAAACAATTTCAACAATTAACAAATAACGTATCTACGCATGCACATCGATAATCAAAATTTAAACAAACATTAGCTATTTCGATGTAAACCTGAACTATCTTAAGATAATAAAATGATAATATAAAAGACTGTGCCTTAAATAATCTCGACGTGTAAATGTTTGACAGGTGAAGAATGAATTGCGCGAACGTTACTTGAGTGGTGGTCATCGATATAGTAGGTAGTATCGCACCCCCCGAAGAGTGGCCCGGCGTTATTAACCCGTTCCTGTCACGTAATACACCCCAAAGAGGATTAGAACAGATTGGAACGGCAATTGTTAAAGGTTGCTCACTTGGAAAGCGATCATCCACTCCACCGAAATACTACTAATACTCTTGACCCGACAACAAATGTTGCATACGGCAGCAGCAGCAACAAGCGCGAGACTTCGTAGGTCTCTAATGTTTATTTATGTAAGCGCGTTTTGTGCCCCGTCTCCCTCGCACCTTCACCGATTTAACACCATTTTTTCTCTGCATCCTTCTTCTCTGGAAATGGTGCAGGAAACGCGCCCAAGGACGTCCGGTGGTGAAACGAAATCGAATTGTCATTGTGTGTGTCTACGCCCACCGGCCGAACACCACCACACACACACACACTACTTGCCATTATTGCTTGCTACCTTTGCTCTGCATATGCTAATACATGCACAAACTAATGCACACAATACATACAGAAAACCAAAGACAAACATCTGTTCTTATTGCAGTTAAAAGCATGAAAATCGAATTCAAATACAAGAAATATCATCTTTTATAACAACGTAAATTATGAAAAAACCTATAACATCCTCGGGTTAACATGAATGAAACGAACATAGAAATAAACAGAAAATTTGATACAAAATCTGATGTCGATGTATCATCCATTTTAATGTAGTTTTGGGTAAAACGTGGGTGTACTTAAAATGACAGAACAACCGTAATCCTTCTCTGAAATCTCGGATTACATTACATAACGAAAATAATCGTGTTTTGTTTTTAGAAGGAAAAAAAATGCCAACGCAGCGCGACACTGCGTTTCTTTCATTTCGTCGATTTTTTTTTATTATCCCTCTCCGAGTTTGCTTGTTGAATAGACGGGGTTGAAAACCTCCATCAAGGAGAAAGGGGAGGGGGAGGGAAAGGTTAGGAGTGGAGGACGGACTGTCGGTCCTCACGTCAACGCGGGGAGAAATAGATAGAAAGAGCGAGAGAGAGAGAGATTAATTACACGCCAAAAGCTAAAAACGAATCTTCTCCCCGAAGAAAGAGCTTTCTAAAAATAAACGCAAGCTTTGTCCCCGACGAGAGGAAGAAAAAGGGTACGATAGTTTCATTTTCACTTAAATTTTCATCTTAAAACGAAATATGATAGATGATCTAAACAATATTGTGAACTTCACAACTCTGTTTCGATAAACAACGAGTCCAAATGTTGACGTTTCATAGAAATGTAAGATTTCGTATTTAAAGTCAATGACCCTGACTGAAATGCATTGATTAAAAAAAATATATAATTAATGATACGAACCTAAATTTAACACACGATGCAATAATTAATAAAACATTCATTACTAAAAATAATGAGAATATTTCAAGAAAAAGAGCCTCAACTAGATTTAAGTAAAAATATTCATTCAAATAGAATATCGGATAAAGTAAATTGAAGTTAGGTCAAATTGGAAGCCCAATTTAATGCTCTAATTATCAATGCCGAATACTCCTCTGTGATCCTCCTAGCATAACTAATTTAAGAAAATAGATAGGCGCTATTAGAAACTATATAATTAAATTTGATTATTGTGCATAAGTGGAATTATTATTTGCAATATTTATAATAATATTGTATGGATGATCGGCACTGAATTGGACAAGAACATATTCCTTTGTATATGAAACATGAATCTAGAAACTTTAATTATCGCGCGTATTCAATTGGAACTTAATTGAAATAATGGCAAGAGTTGTCCGGTGATGTCTTCTACTATTGGTTTAAAAGACGAGAATCCAGGGTAAAATCAGATGAACAGTACTCGAGTAATAATAGAAATAGGTTGGCACAAGAGCTACGTTCTCGATTTGCGCAGGATACAATTCGCTAACACAATTTACATTCGAAAATGGAAAAGCGTAAAGTCTGTCTCTCGATTAGAATTACAATTAGATGCGCATTTTGTTTTTGTTGTCGATTTGTGTTAAGGTTCGAACCTTCTTTGGTGCGAGAAACGTCCCCGAAGAGGCACGACGGGCGGGACCTCCGGGTCATGGGCCGCATCCAGCTCGAATTTGGCCTTCCTGGCCGTAACACTGAGCGCATTCTGAAGCACCATCGTCGCGGCGTTATCCTTAATAAAATCCACCCCAAGTTGCTCATCACATCACCCACATCTCGCGCAGAAGAGTACCGCCGCCGCGGCCGCACGCGTTCCGAGATAAAGCAAAAGCAGTCGCAGCTCCGGAGAGACCAATCTCCTCGGTGGAGGCTCGATTACAAACTGCCGGTTACCGCCGCCGCACAGCGCACTTATTATATATTATTACGGGCGCGCTTTATCTCCGCCGCCGTCGCCGCACTCTTCCTTCTTCGCCTTCGCCTTGGTTGGGCCTTCCACAGAAACGCTCACTAACAGATACGAAAATAGACTGACGCACGCAAGCGAGCAACGAGCACGCACCGTGTGTGTCGTCTCTCTGAAAAACACTGAATTTGGAAGAATAAACTCATTTACATCTCCCCCGAAACGCGACTTCCGCAATTGAAATGCGAAACGAATACGATTAAACTCGAATAATTGGAATCGAGTCGGGCGATAATGATGATGGTAAGTAGGTAAACGCAATGTTGGATGGTGGAGGTGGCGGTTAACGCTGGAGCGCAACAACTGGAGCGGATTTGCATGTGTGTGAAAGTAAAATTGCATATCGTAACGCCGATTTTGCGGCCCCAAAAGCGACGACCAAACAAAAGTTTACAAAAGCTTAGACGAAACCGAAAAATCCGGCGAAAAAATGAAACGGGTGCGACATCTGTGCGTCGCACACTTATATAACACCGCGACTTCCCGATAGCAATCACGAAATTTCACTTTCGTTCCTAATTTCAATAACAATATAATGTCATCTTCGCTTAGGAGTGCTATTCGTATCATAATCTACATTTAAACAATAACCAAAGCGCATCTTTAGCAATAATTAGTGCTTATTTCCATTTGGAAACGTACAAGCGATTTTGGGAATTATATGGATTTAACATTAGCAGATAAACATCAATAGTGGTATGCAACTCTTATTACGCAGCAGATCCATCTGACGCCGAATTGCGCAATCACAATTCGGCGATGTCGCAATTACGAAAGTTTCCAAACAAATGAAAATACGCTTAATTACTCGTAACGAACCGCAAAATACAACAACTTAAACACAGATTTTTAACCTAAACTGAAACGACCAGGCGAAATAGACGTAAAAAAAAATGAATGAATGAAAATGCGTTGCATCATTAATAAAATCCACTGACCTTAAATTTTCTTGGTCCGAAGGATCCGAGAGCCGCGGAAAACCAATCCTGAATGCGGCGATGATCGCTTTTCACCGTTTCACCACCGAGAAAAACCGCGATTTTCCAAGAGAAAATCCGTTTCGCGACGCGTACTCGACAACTGATCGGCGCGTACCCACGCCGCACCGCGCTAGTCAATGACAGGTCCACGTACATTGACGGCGAAAATTTGAATTGGAAATAAAAATATCTAAGGAAATCTACGGTTTTCCGCGAAACAAAATTAACAGAAACGCGTGGAATTTAATTTAGAATTTTTCCGCGTACTTTGCCGATCGCGCCGTGGAGATTTTTGAAGAAAATTTCGCGATCGAAGCGAATGACAGCTCGAGTCAAAGGAGCGACCGTGAGAATTGTTTGAAACTTGCAAAAAAAAAAACAAAAAACTAATAGAGATAAACAAAAGCGAAGCGATCAAGCCTTAGTGATTTTGATAAATCCGGATAATTCTCGAAGATGTTGATGCGATGATTCGAAGTGATCAATTGTGCAAAGGTAAACATGTTTCTTTTATTCTCATTTGGTTTGGTTAAAAATATTATTTAATAAACATAATATTCAATCGTAGGATGAAATTTGTTTGATATCTTTTTGCTTTCGAAGGAGCATGTGGAATGTTGTATGGCAATTGAATCGAAGGGAAATATTTCCATATCCAATCGAAGAATGTTTATAATCAAAGTAGGTGGGATTCGAATTAGGAGAATTCAATTGTTTTAGGAGGTTATAACTTTATTTGAAACAAGTGAAATCCAACAACTTTCATATATATATATATATGCTCTCTGTACACTCTCTCATCTCATCAAATACTCTCAACGTTTCGTAAAATCTCTTCCTCTCTCAACAAGACGCACATTTCCTCCTCATCTCTTCGCTCGATCCGAAGAAAGAAAGTGCAAAATATAAATATTCAAAATATGTACATGTCCAATTCGCAACTCATCACATCGCAAGTGTATTTATATAATAATTATTATCATCATCGGAGTGTGCTTATCACATAGTAACCACCCGTTACGAAACAAAAAACAAACAAACAAACGAGTTCATATTTAACAAAAACATATCAATAATTAGAAAACAAAAACATGTTGAGTGTCAAATGAAGTTTCAGGCATGATGGATTGGGGATAGAATTCAAACGAACTACGGCTCAACACTACAGTATTTTTTTTGTTGTTGTTCCTGCTACAATTTAGACATTCGGTTTCTTCATTTCTCGTCCATCTACTCGAAACGGCTAACTAATTTACGATGGCCACAGCGAAAAACGTCATAACATCTATCATCGTCTCCATGGCAACGAGTCTCTTCGGAGCAATTCTTATGAAATATTGCAGTAACCAGGCAACCAAATTGTTTGTGTTTGCCTTTAGGATTCATCTGTTTCTAGGGGGGCGGGGTTTCTTCCAGTTCCATTATTATTTTGTTTTTTGCAAACGGTTATTAATCATATTGATGACGTTTCTCAAGTGGGCTGATATTATTCGATTATTATATAATTTAGAGTGTGTTTTTTTTCAGCTTTTGTTGCTTAGCAACCCTGCTGCATGAGCAGGTTGGCCAACTTGAAGATCCTCCACCAGGCGGTCCAGGAGGATCCGCCGGACGGCGATGACGTCGCACCGCCGCCCCCGGCCGACGCCGCCGACAGCTTCGACGGCGAGTTCACCGCCGACGGGGAATCCCCCTTGCCGTTCTGAGAGCTGATCGCCGGTGACGTCATAATTGCTACCAACAACAACACAAAACACACTTAACAGATCGCTAATCTAAAAGAGAAGAAAGTAAAAATGTATAAAAATTAAATCGATTCAATTATTTGTCGAACGGCATTCAGATCATCGAAATTTACAAATGTTATCGTATTGTTTGTTTCGGTTCATTAATTTTTTTTTTATTCAAGTTTGGTACGTCGCCTCATTTGAAAGTTTGCACACAGTAGCTGATTTGACTGCAGCTGTCATTTTCAGTTTTTCCCAAAATTTTCTTCAAAAATTTCATTAACCCGCGTTTAAATTAAGAGAGTTTTATCGGAATTTAAAAAATACACCTTTCCACCAATTTTGTTTAACCAAAAACGCTTTTATAAAGCGAAAAAATCGATATTGCATTATCAACACAAATGAATACAGACATGTCATTGACAAGCGTTGTGTCACGTGATGACGCGCACTCGGCGTCATAATCGTAACAAGTGCACGTCTCCAATAATTTTCCGATGAAAATCTCAACTTTCCTTATTGATAATCAATATAATTCGTTACTTTAAGCTCAAGTGAAATAATTCCGAAATCAAAAATTGCTGGTGAGTATTTTTTTTTCACACATTCAACACTCTCAGAATATAGCTTAAGTAAATTGCTTTAACTTGGAATAAAATACGGCAAGTTTTGTGGATGTTTCCGCATGAAATTAATTCGTAAATTGATTTTGAATTGTAGTTGCGCAGCAAGCAAAAAAAAAGCTGTTACGTCACGAGGCGCCGCCAGATGGCGCCATCTATCCGTTTCGAGATCGACCGTGTTAAGGGGGAAGTTTACCCGGTGGCAACGATTCAAAGGGTGTGCGATCACTAAAACCGGAACTTCTGCTTGATAACTGAATACAGGTGAGTTCTGTTTTAATGAAACGTTATATAATTTTTACTACATGAGTCATCTGTGGAACTTACTAATTCGCTTATTTAATGAGTGAGTTTACAAAAAAATATTTTCCTTTCGTTAATTCCGTTTATTTTCGGTTTAATTGAAAGAGAGAGAGAGCGGAGCAGGTTTAAAAATAAGGACGTGTTATGTATTTTTGGGTCGCGCAGGGCTTAGTCAGTCGCAGTTTCCTTTTAATACTCTTTTTATTATTTATTTTTTTTTATTATTATGCTTCGTCTTCTATAGTGAAAGAGAATTGGTGGAGCGGAGTGCCAGGAATAGACGGATTGTAACTGAGAAACTACATTAATCATCCCAAAAAAAAAAAGAACGAAGCAGGAAACGGAATGCCCAAGTTGGCGTAATTTTAGCCCAGGTTTAGTACGCTTTTTTTTTCCTTCTTCTTCATTTGAGCCGCTAAGTCAGGTGATTACGAAAGCAAAAATAAATGTAACAGTGTCGGTATGCGCTTATGCAAGTCATTAACCTTTACTAAGCATATCGGATATAAAGTTCATTTATGTATTGTGTTAACGTTTATTGCTTTTTCTGTTGTGTATATTTGATAAAGTACCAACAAGTTAAAGTTTATAATAACGTACATTAATACAATATCAGATTGAGTAAACTTATGCTTAAAGTAAGCATAACGCTATTATTGTGTTATGCAACGAAAGGATTATCTGCTAAGTGTTAGAGCACATACTGCTGCTGCTGCTATTTCCAAATCATCGTCGGCGCGATTACCATCCAAATACAACAATTAGAATTTTACGCGGCTTTCGCAACGTTTTCGATGCTCGCTGTAACAATGTGACCGATGCGGTTAAAGTGTGTTTACGGAACTCTATCTATCCGATGACTTTAAATATTGCGATGAGATGTGTGCATTACGAAACGCCGGGCCCACGCGCTCTTCCCGAACACGAGCTGCACGAAAATTGAAAGAAGAGAGCGAGAGTTTGAAATGTATAAAGAGCGAGTGAGAGTGAATGTAGAAAGGTCAGAGCTTACGCAATTGGACACACGCACGGCGAGCACAATGGGTGCGAGTGAGCGCGGCGATAAGTGCAAACACGCACTCGAAGTCGAGCAGATAAACACGCCTAATTGAATCAAACAAAACAACGATGTGGACGTGTGTTTCCAAAACGTTCAAATTGAAAACAGATATTCCATATTTCCATGTAGTGCGTGTACGGTTTGGGTTGATTACGTAAAGCGTTAAGACTTCAACGTTATTGGGTCACCATTAGATTTTTTCAAATTATTTCGAAATTAATTGAATTGGAATTAGTTACATTTTATTGTTGTGATTAAGATTTATAATAAGTGCATAACCTTCGTATTAATTAATCCTCAGTTTGCTTGTTTTTTTTTTGCGAGAAAAGTTGGTAATTAAGTAGAAAATCATATAAATTATGTAATTTTCGTATATGCAAAGGTTAATTGACTTGAAAGCGATGAAAATCGAAAGTGTTCGTTTTGATTTTCGTGGAAAGTTCGCCAAATGTAATTTATTATTAAGCGGCAACAGGGGAAAATCAATGAATGCTGAAACGTGAATATAATCAGCTTGAAGCAGTCGACGCATTCGCGAAAATAAATTGTGAAAATATGAGAGGGGAAAATCGATATCCGTTTGTGACGCAAGTCGGATTTGCAAGGTCCCAGAACCGAATGTCACCAAAACAAACAAACAAACAATGCCTGTATGATCTTTCGCCGATGCATTTATGTACATGTATATCTATACTCACTGGCTTCGTACTTGCAGAAGATTATAAAACCACCCTTGACCCTACTAGACTCGACGTCTTTGCGCTGGATCACTTCCGTTTTCGTGGGGTAACTCTGGTACCTTTTTTGCTGGATGCTTGTTCCTTCGGGAGTTGTAGAGATCTGCGATGGGCAAGCAGCGGGAACGCACTGTGTTTATCGGGGGCGGCCCCGGCAAGGTGCGCGCATTTGACCCACTTCCGGTCGGCCGACATGCGCCGACGCCGCAAGGCCGCGCCACCATCGATCGCGACGCCCACGCCGATCCGCTGCAGCAGAGAGTCCAGCTGATCGGCGTCCCGACGCATCGCGCCAAAATATCACGTACACACGCGCGCTCCCTTCATTTCCGCACTCGCGCATATGCGAATTCCAAACAAAATAATAATAAAGTAAAACCCAAAAACCGCGCGATTAACTCCGGAGTAGGCGAAAAGAAACCGCAACCTTGACACGGAAAATGGAAAACCTAGTTGCGTAACGCGTGTAACCGTCGATGAAAATTGGTCAATTGGTAGATTGATACGATCGATCACATAATCACCATCTCGCTCTTTTTATTTTCGGTTACTCGATTGGCCCCAATTTCGTAACCTTTCATTGATTGCGAGTGAACATCGCCGTTTCGGCTGCGCTCGCATCCCATTCACCGTTCAAATAGTTCTGCTCTTCGCTTGCAAAGCAAAGACCTCTCTATAAATGTATTGCAACAAAAAAATAACATTATAAATTATTTATAATTTTTTTTGTTTCTGTACATTTTGAGAGCTTATCGAGAGAGGTAGTGGTATTTCGAAATTTGCGGTGAAACTAACCACCAACTAATCATATTTTTAGCAAACGTACAGTTTAGTTACTATTAACAATGTTGATTTCGTAACTAAACTCGTTACGTGATGCTTTTCAAGTATTGGTCAAGTAAGTTGTTTTTGCAAGTGCGTCTATATGTACCAATACAATTGTATTAATACAGGTTAAATATCAAGTGAACTCAAATACTTGCAATTTCACAAGTATTTGCCCAATATTGAAGCAAGTTATATAATAACACATATTTTTTAACGAATTTTAATTATATATATATATATTTGGGAGCAAGCAACGCGAATTGTGGGAAAGATTGAATCAGGAAACTGTAATAGAGCGATGTTTTACTATAAACTAGAAGCTAGATATTTGATATTAATATAATTCGCTACAAACTTTAACTGCTATTATTTTAGGTTGAAGTGTTCTTACCTTACTATGCCGCCCTGAGATTGCGGTCGCAGAAAGCTTTGATCGACGGAATTGGGTCTGTAGCTGCGTAGAGAACACCAGAGATTAGATTGAATTTGTCAGCGAGGGATTTGTGCAGCGGGCAGTACCTTCTGGGTGAGCTTTTGGTGGAACTCGGCCTGCTCCCGTCCAGGACCTCCGTGCCGAAGAACTTGCAGCTCTTCGAAGCGGTTGGGCTGGTCGGGGACGAGGATTTGCTGGAACTGCTGGAGCTTATCATCCTGCGAATGACCTTCCTGAAGGAGCCCTTCTTGGAGGGCGAAGGCGAGGTCGGCGACGACGGCGGCTGCATGTCCGGCAGCTTCATGTAGCGATCCATCGCGTCTCGAAGATTGAACGAGGAAAACGCGCTCGCTCGCTTATTGCTTGCGACACACCCGAGGGTCCTGTTCTCATTCACTACTCGTTGCTTGCTACCTAACAAAATACGATATGCAGTTACTGGTCGTGACTGTGGCAATTCCAGTTCCCGAGCTTCACCAGAAGAGGAAACGCCGTCACCGTGGCTTTGATAACGCTCGGCCTCCTTTTCCGGTCCCGTGGTCTTCCACACATCCCGTCCTCGTTTCGCCAATCCGATCGCTGCATTTCACATAACACTCTCAACTGACTATTCCTAATCTATAACCCTAACATAACTATATTTTAATTATGCCGTCTACTTGCACTCGCCATTCACATAATAACTTCGCAGTAAACAAAAAACTATATGAAATTTCACTAAACACCTATTAACTATCAATTATGCAAGTAAACTCGTCCACTAGTTCTTCGAAATACTTTTAGCTCAATTTGCAACATTCAACTGTAAATCATCATAAATTCGTTAATTTAACAATTTCGAAATTTCCAGGAGAGTTTGATAAAAATATTATATTTTAAAATCTGTTTTTGTTGTAGGCAACTTCGAGTGCGAACGCTCCTGCTGACATCTATCCATCCACCACCGCAACTGAGCCACGAAATCGAACGACTTTTATCGATCCGCTGTTAGGGAGATTTTCGCTGCAAGTCTCCCGGGCGTGCGTCGAGCTCCACCGAATCAGTTGTAAAAGTCCATCCAAACTCGAAGGTTCTCCACCTGTCACCAAAAAAAAAATCTAAATCGTGAGTACAATTTCAAATTTGCCTCCTATACGACTCGGTGAAGATGTAGAAAATATAGTAAACTCGCTGCGTTGCATTTGAAAACGTATCAGAGGTGGCCCAATTACAGAAGGACAGATATAATAATGGAAATTGGGTTACATAACGCCCTTGAAGATCGGTCCTATTGGCAATTCGGGTGACGCGTTCAAATATTTATATGTCTCTCTCTAGATATATATATAATCTAAATGTTTGAAATCGCTTTTGAAAACAATTTAATTTTGAATTTCAAATTGAATATTTTTTTTTCGAATTCTAGCCTTTCAACTCTCATATAACCAATTTCGCACGTGTTCCTCGATCAATGCCGTGACGTAGGCCGTTGAAAAGAGCGGATTTCTTGCCGCGTTGCCATTTTTTTTTTGTAACAAAACCGTTCATTTCTTTCGACTTGGTTCATCCATCAAAGTTCATTAACTCTTCGCGAAAAAAAAACTGATTCCAAGGGTCACATCTATTAGATCAGACCCAAATCCAATTGGCAGGTGTTTGGTCTTTTCTCTCTCTCTCTCTCACTTCAAACAGCGTTCAGTTGGCAACAATGCGCATTAGTTAAGACAACTAGAATATTCTATAATTTACAGGATTTACGTAATTGTTAATCTTTATTCTTTTTTCTTCTTCCTACCACACAATTGCTTACATATCCAATTACGATATAAAAAAAAATCGCTCGCTCGTGTTCTCCTTTGATTACTCATTGTGCGAGCGCTTATTTACTTTCATTCGACGACTTATCTGTTGCCCAGATAAGCTTCGAACTTTAAAATCGAGTCGAGAAGGTTGAAAAATTACGCAAAAAAAAATATATATAGTTTTTCGCAGACTTTAACCAGACACGCGCAGCGAATCGATAAATCAAATTCCATCGATAAGCATTTATTTTGGAATTCTTTCAAAATGTTAATTATATTGATCGATGCAATGCGTAACTTTTTAACACCTATCACATGAAAACGTTCGTTACGTAATCTATCTACCTAATGTTTATGATGCGTTTATTTTCGGAAATATTTGCACACTTGGCAACCAGGAGTCGCGTGTCGCCTTGGTGATGAATCAATTGTTACGCAACTTTACGTAATCGCTTCGACCTAAAGGGCTCTTCGCGGTCATTTGATCATTTTTGTTTTTTTAATCTTTAATCCTCGATTCAGGACGATTTCAATACCAATTAGTTTTCATTTTTGTAAATTTTGATTGTTTGGTTTAGATTAGATAGCAATTGTTTCTGATAAATGTAATGATTATTTTAAGTTGGCTAATGGGTTTTATGATGCGTTTGTTTAGAAAATGACTGTCCCATCCGGTGATGTTGAGAAGGGCAAGAAGATCTTCGTCCAGAGGTGCGCCCAGTGCCACACCGTGGAAGCCGGCGGCAAGCACAAGACCGGCCCCAACCTGAGCGGCATCTTCGGCAGGAAGACCGGACAAGCCTCCGGCTTCGTCTACACCGACGCCAACAAAGCCAAAGGTTCGTGTGCAATCGGTCGAATTACGTTAACATCACATCATATTTACGTTACTTTCTATTTGCAGGAATCACATGGACGAAGGACACTCTGTTCGAGTACCTCGAGAACCCGAAGAAGTACATCCCCGGCACCAAGATGGTGTTCGCCGGTTTGAAGAAGCCCCAGGAGCGTGGAGATCTCATCGCCTACTTGGAATCCGCTACCAAGTAAACGGTGCATCTCGTACGTGACGCTTCGTCTCTCTTCTCATCCCTCAAAAAGAGAGCAACAAAACAACAACATCAACAACAAAAACTAGTTCAAATTTCATCGCTTTCAAAGACACTCATTGAAAGGAACAACGATGAAGATCCGTTGAAATATAAGTAGTATTTTGCACCTGACAAAGGGTGCTTAGGACAAAATACCGTTAACCATATATAGGCCAATTATTAAATTATTTTACCATGAACAACAAAAGTGATTGAAAAAAAAAGAAAGTAAACAATTAATACTGTGTACAAAACAAACAACAAAAAAAAATGCATCTAAGTTATTTTAATTTGTAATTTTCACGTGTGCATACCTTCAATGTATTATTGTTAAGTAATAATAATAAAATTACATAAAACGAAGCAAAGACAACGACAGTTTCTTTAAAAAAAAAAATATATTTACGAGATTAGAAAGTTAAATCACAATGTAACTTATATGTAATTTGTGTAGTTCGAGAGTAAGTGTTGAAAGGAGATTCCCACCCGTGGGATGCTTTTTTCTTTCACTCAATCGGTCAGACCTCTAACTCTTCGACGGAATCATCATCCCCATCCATGGTCACCCAGGAGTCTTCTGCATAACAACAACAACAACAATAATAATAACAACAACAACATCATAGCAACCGTTTTTTTCTTTCTTTTGTTTTTGAGGCGCACACTTGTTAAATCATACCGTCTTCGTCGTCCTCGCTGCTCGCGCCGTCGTCCATGATGCCCGGATGCAGACGTCTCCGTGGGATGCGACGCATCTGCACGTTGATGTCGAGATGCATTCGGATGTCGAAGGCCATGAAGGCGACCGTGATGATCAGAGGGATGCGAAACCGGGCGTCCCACGCCAACTTGCACAAGAATATGAAGGGTTTATCCATGATTCAAATGTTGAAAACAAACAAAAAAAAGTAGAAAACTCTCTGTATCTTCCGACGCTCTCATTCCAACGACAACACCATCATCGTCAACAAGTCAAGTCGCACTAGCATTTTGCAAGGCCGAAACTGAATGCCCACCACCCCTACAAACGCATTTGCAGGTTAGATCGTATCTTTGTTTTCCCTTTTTATCTTTCAGTTTACGTCAACTGTCACCGTGACAGATCTGTCAGCGTCGGCGCGAAGGCGGCAAATTCGAATTCGAATTCACAATAAATCAACTATTATTCCCAAACTATTCAATTTACTAAATATATATAAATAAATACACAATCACATCTCTATTCAGTTTCTTGCTGCTGCTGCTGCAACTCATCGAGCCTTTGCCTCAACTTCGAAGTATCCTCTCCCCTGCCCTCTCCGTACTCCAGAGACACCTTCAGCTGATGCTCCTCCAATCCCTCGATTCTACTATACAAAGTCCTCTGCAGCTCCTTATCCAGATCGTTCTCCTCCCGCAGATAGCAGAAGTACACCATGAACACAGATAAACTGGCCAGTATAACGTGGGGCTCGAACCAAAGCCTCTTATTGTCCGGACCCTTCCTCGTGTTCTCCGCCCTCCACTTGGCAGCCCCCGACGTCGTGAACTTGATCGGAGTGTTGTTTATCTCCTCACCATTGGAATACATCCTCACCCACGATCTGAGACCAAAAATCAAGATAATAATGAATTAAACAATTCTCAACAACAATTAAACGAATAAGAAACACCTATTGCTTAATCCCAATCGTCGAAACGCACGGATCAAAGACATCTTAAAATTAATCAAATGCTGTGTATATTCATAGAAACAACCGAAAAAAAATTGAGGTTATGTCAATAGAAAAATTACAATTTCAAAAATTACATAATAACAATGATTCAATTCATCTGGTATTATAGACAAATCTATTAATATTATTAACACATTGACCAATTGAAAATCTATTGGATTCGTATAAGTTTCTTATTGGTAACTTTTCGTGTTTCGATGTTGGCTGCATGTTGACGCGGAGTGGGGACATTTCTCGGGTTTAGGTGGCTGCTAAGAACGTGTCGATTCTTCCATTTCCACTTCAACCGTAGCAATGGTAAGTCAAATATAGAAATTGCATCCCCGATTATTACAAACATCCCTTGTTAAATAATAATTTCCCTTGCATTTTCCACTTGGGAAAGTGTTCCTTTAACGTTGCGAATCGAGATTTTCGACGATTCTCCAATATTTGTCCCGTATTTTTAACAAATGCAATAAGAATAAGGTACGCGTCAAATATGGCGGCGTGTCTTTTTTCGATTTTTGCTTTGTTTTTAACATGATGATTTAGATAATTTACAAGTTTATGGTTAATAAACCGAATCACACATGTGGATGCTATTCTAGGGCGGTCTGATTCTATTTATTCATCGTAAATCTTGTGGATGATTGCGATGGAACGTGATTATTAATTTTCGGTGTTTTTTTTTACAGTCTCACAGGAAGTTCAGTGCGCCTCGTCATGGCTCCATGGGATTCTACCCCAAGAAGAGGTCCAGGCGTCATCGTGGTAAGGTCAAGGCCTTCCCAGTCGATGATGCCTCCAAACCAGTCCATCTGACCGCTTTCATCGCCTACAAAGCTGGCATGACCCACATCGTGCGTGAAGCCGACAGGCCCGGATCAAGTAAGTTCTTCGCCATATGTTGTTACTACGTAGAATTATTGATGCGGTCAGAAGTGGAGCTTACCCTCCTGCTGTTGACTACTGGCAGCTTCCTTGTAGCAGCCAATGTCATAGCATCATAGAGCATGTGCCCTTCGGGAGGCGCAATGGGCATATTCCATATTCGTGGTGTAGCTCCTGGGCTCAGACGCTAGGATAAACCATGCCCTTTACAGTCTCATCTCACAATTAAATCAAAATTGACAAATTATTCATTTTAAAGAAAGTAAACATTTGCTCTATTTATAATTCATCAAATTTTTACATTTCCTTTTGAATTGTATACATTTTTTTTACTAATTTTGTAAATTAATTATTTTAGAGATCAACAAGAAGGAAGTTGTTGAGGCTGTCACCATCTTGGAAGCCCCACCAATGATCGTTGTTGGTGTCGTCGGTTACATCGAAACACCTAATGGTCTCCGCGCTTTGGCCTCCGTCTGGGCTGAGCATCTCTCTGATGACTGCCGTAGGAGATTCTACAAGAATTGGTGAGCATGCTTTCCTCTTTAAACCAACCAATATTATCTTTGAATTCTTCATACAGTAACATCAATATTATATTTAATCTTCACGCATATAAAAAAAATAATGAAATTTGATTACTTATGAAGCAATTGAAAGATCAATTTGGTGCGTACAAAGTCAATTGTTCATATGTGTGTAACTAATGACGAAAAACAGCCCTCCAATCGCTGCATGAGGGCGTTTAAGAAATACAAATACCTACTGATGGCCATCATGTGCAAACCTGCTTTTGATTTATCTTTGGCTTGGGATGCTGTGATTTATTTTGAGGCCTAAGTTACGGTTCAGGGTCCTGCGTCTCCAATTCTATGAGGCCGGGGCCCTCTTGTATTTTACAGTGACGTGACGAAGGCGCTTTACGTACAGCAGCGTAGTTGACTCACGAGAACTCGGAATTACAATGTTTTTTTGCTGACCAATGTAGGTCCAAGAGCAAGAAGAGGGCTGGTGTCAATGCCGCCAAGAAATGGCAAGACCAGTTGGGTATGAAGACCATCGAGAATGACTTCAAGAAGATCGTCAAGTACTGCAAAGTTGTCCGTGTTATCGCCCACACTCAGGTAAATATACTATTATTATTATTTCATTTAATTAGTACAAATCAATTTGTAATTTGATGCGGTCAGAAGTGGAGCTTACCCTCCTGCTGTTGACTACTAACCACTTCCCTGTAGCGGTTAATGTCATAGCGTCAAAGAACATGTGCCCTTCGGGAGGCGCAATAGGCATATTCCATATTCGTGGTGTAGCTCCTGGGCTCTGACACTAGGATAAACCATGCCTTTTACAGCCTCACTTAAAAAAAATGATTTTCCAAACATATCTGATGTAATAGGAACAGTATATTGATGTTTCCAATTTTCTTTCTAGATGAAACTGATGAAGCTGAAGCAAAAGCGTTCTCACATTATGGAAATCCAATTGAACGGTGGAACCATCGCCGACAAAGTCAACTGGGCCCGTGAGCACCTTGAGAAGCCCATCCCAGTTTCCAATGTCTTCGCCCAAGACGAGATGATTGATACCATCGCCGTCACCAAGGGTAAAGGATTCAAGGGTATGTATCGATTTTTATATTATTTTTTTTTATCTTTCAAACACTTTTAAAAAAAATTTAGTTAATGATGAAAACCGTGATGTAAATGTGCTTCCGAAATATATTTTATGAGGATACTCATCATGCTGCCTTCCTACTGATGCTAAATTCAAACAAAATCAAAGATTTCACATTTCTGCTGTTTCTTATTGGATTTTACTTATTTGTTCATTTTTGTTGTCGACAGGTGTAACTTCCCGTTGGCACACCAAGAAATTGCCGCGTAAGACTCACAAGGGTCTGCGTAAGGTCGCCTGTATCGGTGCTTGGCATCCTTCCAGGGTGTCCTTCACCGTCGCTCGCGCCGGTCAAAAGGGCTACCATCATCGTACCGAGAAGAACAAGAAGATCTACCGTATCGGAGCTGGCATCCACACCAAGGACGGAAAGGTAATTACATCGAAACCAAATGAATTGCATGAAAATTGGTACTTTCTCCATTTTTCGGTGATGATAAATCATTAGAGCCAAGACATAATAATACTAATATTATGAATACAAATTGATTATGAATGATAGGACTGAGTTTACTCTTAAATTCAATTCATTTTGTTATTAGTTTTTGTAGGAGTTATTAATTGTTTGTTTTTTTATTATTCAGGTCATCAAGAACAACGCTTGCACCGAGTACGATCTGACTGACAAGTCCATCACCCCGATGGGAGGATTCCCGCACTACGGTGAGGTCAACAACGACTTCGTCATGATCAAGGGTTGTTGCCCGGGACCCAAGAAGAGGGTCATCACCTTGAGGAAGTCCCTCCAAGTGCACACCAAGCGTATCGCACTCGAGAAGATCAACCTCAAGTTCATCGATACCTCGTCCAAATTCGGTCACGGCAGATTCCAGACGCCGGCTGACAGGACCGCCTTCATGGGCGTCCTCAAGAAGGACAGGATCAGGGAGGAGGCAGCCCAGGCCGCCGCCGCCGCCACCGCTAGCTCTTAAATCTATCACGACTTTCGGGTTTACATTATTGAATCCCGGAAAGAATGTTTTACAATGTGATGCGGACCGATTGAGGAATAAATGGAAAAATTTATATAAAACATTCACTATATATATATTCTCATCTCACTTCCCCCCATTATTTATTTCATTCCTGAATGATTGATGTTTTTTTCTTTTGTAAATAGTTTTTATTTAAATAGGGAGTATTATTACACGATTACCTAGTTCCTAATTTTTATATATAAATAATAAAAATGTTGCAAAGAAAAGAAAAAGAAGCAAGGAAATGATTTCAGAAGTTTGAAACCCGTTTCGCCTCCCGCACGTTTACTTATTATTACTACTTATAAATTACACTTATACCGTGTGAGAGTAACGTTTCTGATCACTATTCCTTTCCTTCTTCTGTTTTAGTCCTGGGCGAGGATGAGGAGATTGGCGGCGACGACGAACTTCTTCCCTTCAAAAGTTGCTGCGAGCCGCTCTGAACTTTTTGCTGCCCGCCTTCGTGTCTTCGACGCATGGCACCTGTATCAGATTGAAGTAGACGTTGCCCATGATGTGAGCGGTCGGTGATTCCGAACTCTTCAGACACTCGTACAGACTGTCGTCGCAGAGGCAGTGACTCTTGGTGTAGAGGGAACCGTTGGTCAGGTTGTATCGCTTCGTGTACGCTCGCACCTTCACCGGACACAGATCGTGCGTCCTGCAGCACCGATCCACCGACGCCTCCGCCCCTAAATCGTGATAGGTGTCGGCGATGTCACCGGTTCCGCACCACTTTGTACCTAATAAACAACAAGACAATTAGACACACCCTCCCTCACCACAGAAACCTACATCGACACGCCCACAAAACAAACAATTAAAACAAAACGTAGTTTTGACAGTTGCATCATCGCACTTTAGGTGCTGCATAGGTTATGTGTGTTCGCTGTGAAAACTACTCGAAATGGTATTAATTCGTTTCAAAACAATAACCAACATGACTCGATTACTTATACATTAGTGCACATTACTCCACACTTGCCAAGCAATACATTACACGCGCTTAACCTTATTTTGCAAGTACTTCTACAAGTTACTTTAGAAATCGCATAATACGCACTCGTAGTCTTATTGAAACATAATCGTTTAAAACATTTACGCAATTATCTTTATTCATTTTTAGGTTATTAAAAAAAAATACTTCAATCAAATTTAAAAAAAACAATAATAACTAATTTTCTTTCAAATTAGGAACATATACATCCTCGCTCGGTTTACATTCCAACGTCTCTCTCTCTCAATTTAAGCAAATTACTCACTAAATTGATAATCGTACAATCTCATTACCGTTCGTAATTTGTCCGGTCAAACATAGATTGTTTAACAGCGTGGGCGTGTCCTAGCAACCGAATGCCACGCCTTCGCGACTAAAGCAAACCAATTACGATAATAGTGTGTGTGCACAGAAAAAAAAAAAAAAGAGAAACGAAATGATGAACTTGTTTACAAACGGCGCGACCTGTTTTCGTCTCCAACCTTCGTCGCATTTAAAAATCGCCCGATGATGACCCCAACCCCGCGAAAAATGTTAATAATATCGCGAATTTTATTATTATTATCGTTCGTTATTCTTTTTCCGTTTCATTTCTTGTCGAGTAATCGGAGCGTGACCGGAAGAAGACGTTTTTCGCGCGCGCAGAATGCAACTCGTCCTATTCCTTCGGTTGACAAACGCAAGCAAAAGAAATAACCGTCATGTCTCTCTCTTTTCCTCATTTCTTTTTTTGTGTGTTTCAATTTGCAAGATTTCAATTTTGCAGGCTGAATCGACGCATTCCATCGCGAACCACCGCTGCGACAACAGCAACAGCAGAGTTAACGACGCAGCAGCAGCAGCAGACGATAACCGGTTAGCGGAGGAGATGAACAATCCGTGCGTGATTCCGGCGAGGCCGGAGGACGTCGTCGGCGACAAGAGATGGGAGAGCATGCACAAGAGGTACGTGACGGAGGCGAGAACGTCGGAGCCGGAGGTCGTCTTCATAGGCGACTCGATCGTGCAGCAGCTCCAGTTCAGCACCATCTGGACGGAGAAGATCAACTCTTTGCATTGCCTCAACTTCGGCATCGGAGGTGACAGGTAACAACATTAACCTCAACTCGTTTTTATTCATTCTATATTTTTTTTGGGACAATGAACAAACGTCCGTGGGCAACGTAGGCTCTTTATTCACGCACTTCCTGTTAATTTAATGAACTTCAATTGCGACGAGCGCTCAACTGGAAATTCACCAACTAAACTCTAATGCCCAGTTTAGATGGTGATTGATATGGAAATTGCAACAAATTATTGTGTATTAACGTATTTAAAGCATTCCAGGCAATTAAGTATCGACGGATCTGGGGCGGTTGTTGAAACATCTAAATTTGTAACTGTGTGTTTATACAAGACGAGGAACATAAAATCGCCCACTCTGTCTCGTATTTCCAAATTCCAAAAGATTGAAATCATTTCACCATCTAATCGTTGTTGTTGTTGTTTTAGGGTCGAGTACGTGCTGTGGCGCATCCTGAACGGCGAGTTCGAATTCAACGTGCCGATAAAAGCGGTCGTCGTGTTCGTCGGCACCAACAACACCGACTGCACGCCGCACGAGGTGTTCGAGGGTCTCCTCGAGATCGTCAGAGCGGTCAAATCGAAGCTGGGGGGCGTCGCCATCGTCCTGCCGACGCTCCTCCCTCGCGGTCAGAACCCGAACCCCTACAGGGAGCGCAACGATCACGTCAACACGTTCCTGCTGGACAAGTTCGAGAATCCGGCGAACGCCGAGCCCGGCCTCACCGAGAACGTGCACGTCGTCCGCATCCACGGCGGCATCGTGCAGGGCGATCAGACCATCTCGCACCACGTCATGCACGACTACCTCCATCTCACCGATTCCGGCTACGCGAAGATCTTCGAACCCGTTCACAGCAAACTCATGCAGATCCTCAAGAACTGACCACCCCCCCAACAACAACAACAGGTTTCTTCTCATCCTCAACACTATTTACGTACTTTCAAAACAATTATATATATACATACAAGAATGGTTCGCAACTTTGTCAAACAACAATACACGTAATTCGATAATATAAATCGCATAAATATATACATGTATGCAACCAAACAAACGTATTCATACATGGTACAAGTATACAAGGTTGTAGCGATAATCGAGAATCAAATTCATAACATTGACAGCTGTCACATTGGCACACTTGATTGATGTACTCGCGATCAAATTGAGTCTGAATCTCTATTCTCGCACCTTGCATAATTGTACCATGAACCCAATCCGAACCGTCCTTAATAATAATGTCTTCGATGTATGTCACTCTCTGTTTATTCGATCTTTGCACCAAACAACGAACGAATATAGCA